TTACCTGTATTAGATTTATAGAACTGTATTTAGAGGAACCATACACTATTCCAGGATAAAAAGTATCCTATATCTATTTCCTGGTTATAAGTTTTCTGTGTCTGAAATTTCATCCAAATCCGTTCAGCCATTTTGGCATCATTGAGTATCAAACATACAAACAGATAAAATTACAAACTTTCTCATTTATAATATTAGTAGCATATATAAAAATAGGTTATGATTCAATACATAGTAATATAAAGGGCAAATGGTGCCAAGTATAACCAAGTTAAGTAATACCAGTATTTTTTATTTTGCACTTAGAGTAGAAACTAAAATTACGGAAGAAAAAACCTAGATGATAAATTATCAATTGCAAAATCTGTGACGAATAACGTCACACCGCGTATAATACGTTTTGCAACACTTTGATTGTTTGATTTTTAAACAATTCGGTAGAGGTGAAGTGCTTTATGGACTAAAAATTCTTGTACCTACTTTAAAATATAAAATAATTTGTAAAGTTTGATATTTAGCGTACCTGTATTAAAGTGGTAAAATATACCTACAACTTTATTTATCTTTTCGCTTTCTGATAGAACTGTTTTTTTACGAATATGTAAATTGAAATGATAATGCAATATTATTTTAACATGGAGACGCTTTGATGGACGCAATCTTATTGAACTCATTTGTAAAGCGAAGAAGAATTTAATCCCACCAAAGACTTTCATGTAAAATGTTGCCAAAACGATATCATATGGCTCGCACTGACAAAAAGTTAATAGATCTCATGTAGAGCCAAGCTCTTAACTCTACGCGCCCTAACTCTACAAGCCTAACTTCACAAACTACACTTTTGTCAAAATAAGTGACTTGGCCATTTCGATACATACACATGAGCGTAAGGTGAAAAATTTATCCACTGTTCATTTCTTTTCTGTTATTCAATAGTTTTTGTTATAACGAAATGACCAAGGCTCATATTTCAGGTTTCTAGGGTAAATAGATAATTATAATGAATCAGTTGTTAATTATAAGTGGTTAAAATATATGTAAATGCCGCAATATGACAGATAAATCTATCCCTAGGGACAATAATTACATTGCCAAGAGCTGATTCCAATATTCGAATGCAATACACATCACTTAAGAAGAAAGTAGATTTGCTGACAGCATGGGCACAATGTTTCGTTACAATATATACTTGTAGTAGTTTCGTGTACAGTAGCCTTCGTGTTTATTTAAGTATGTATTGATGTATTAAAAAGTGCAGTTAGGCGATTCTCACATTGCTACGCACTATGCTGCGTAGCACCGGCGTGAGTATTGTTACTTTGCTTTCTCTATGTATTAAAATTCGCGTATTTCAACACGCTCAAAACGCAATTACATGCAGTGTTGCAGATCACGCGCCTTAGTGTCTATGTACGTTCGCTCCGCACCGACGATGGTACACCGAGATTTGAAGTTTGGTGCCCGATTTTACACATAATTGAAAAAAGGAATCTTCGTATTTTTTAAATCTAAGTAATTCTGAACAGATGAATCAATTATCGATCTTGTTCGTGTAAAGGGATGTAACCAATATCTTGTATATACACTACTTCTTATAATTTGATTATACAAAAACCAAATATATAACAAAACTGCAGCATCCTGAATGAGTTCTGCATTATTAACCATTCTTAATATAGAAAACAATTTTCTGCACTATACTAGCACTACCGCAAGCTGTTGTGAAATGAGATCAAAAAACGCTGCCTCATGCAGATTCGCATGCGGATGCAGATCTGGACGACAAGTGCGTAGGCAGTGTGAGAATCGCCTTAAATTCAATTTGAGTTTCTCTATACCTAAATATATAAAAAAATATGGGTGCGTGTACTTAAGTACGCGCGTGAGAAGTTCTTCTTTTTGGAATTATTAAAAAATAGTTTTTAATTGCATGCAGATAATTAATTACAATAAGATATTAAAAGGATTGGAAAAGGATAGTCAACGCAGTCAATAAAGTTCAGTTTTAATTTGAAAAATTTAATAAATAATCAAAATATTCAATTTAAATCACTACTGAATAAAATTTATTAGCACATATAAATTTCGCATTTGTATAACATTATAACACGTGTTAAGAATATAGAAACTAGATGCGTCCCAACATGTGCGACTAAGAGATCCTATTACTATTTTGTTGGAAGCTTTTTTTCGAGACTTACGAGTAATGTGCGGTTTAGCGGCCGACTTCATGGTGTTACTTTTCTGTTACAGTGTTGCGCGCGCATCTTAAAATTTCACTCTCATCATTTTTTCATAACGCGCCCGCGGCTAACTTCATTATGTTACTTTTGTGTTACAGTGATGCGCGCGCATCTTAAAATTTCACTCTCATAATTTTTTCATAACGCGGCTAAAGAAGTATAACTTCAAAACAAAAATATTATGTTGCATGCTGTGCCTTTATTTATTAAGCACCTATTAAGATTTTTGTGAGAGCCAAATAAATAAACTTTAAATGTAATATGCAAAAAGCGGCTAAGTGCGTGTCAAGTTGCGCGCAATGTAGGGTTCCATAGTTGCCCATCTCGCAAATGGGAAACTTACAGGTAGCATTTTAGGACACATTTATAGAGGTGTTTGGACGTCCGCTCTTAAAACGCATTCTCCGTAGCATACTCCAATGCGTTATTCGAGCGTTGGTTATTATGATTGACTAAACCTTTATTTTAAGCATTTAACTGCTAGATGCATTCAAGTGACCAGGGGCAAATCTTCTGCTTTACCAATTTATATGGACGACCCCAAGGGTCTCTGTCAAGTGAGCCTAGTAGTTCTTTCCAGGCTGTTGCCTTTTGTTCATAATAGCTACCCGAAGGGCGTCTGCAGCCACTCTATACGAAGCATAAAGCTCACTTCTACGGCTCCGTTGAAATCTTCGACGTTTGGAAACGCAGTTTCGACGGAGATCTGCTATTTCCAGTTCAGGAATATTCCAGTCCAGGAATAAACTTAGCGTCTGAATTGCCCAGTAGCTTTGATCCGTGGCATATTGCATCAGAATCATCTTCCACTTGTATTGGTTACATTTTATAAACCCACACTAAGGTAACTTATCTGTAAGTAACTATTTTACCTAAGGTAAATGTTAACCTGTAATGTACCTTTGGAATAAAACTAGTTTTTAACGGGTTCATGCACGAAACTTTATTTATTTATTGACGTTTCGTAGCCTTTACAGGCTACGTCATCGGAATCAAATATTTATTTAATAAATAAACTTTAAAAAACTAGTTTTATTGAATGAGTGATGTGCGTGAAAACCTAAGAAACAAGTACCTTTGGAAATTTCAATGGATTTCGTACGATTTTTTTATTTCTCCGGTTATTATAACTCGTTAAAGTGTAAAGTTGACTTAGCTGTGGTAGTTTTCCTTTTAAGTTCATTATAAATACTACTACCGTAATGTTTGTTCATATATTATAATACTAGCGACCGCCCGCGACGCCGTCCGCGTTATGTTTGGTTTTTTGAAAATACTTCGGGAACATGTTACTTTTCCGATATAAAAAGTATCCTATGCCTCAATTCAGGTCATAAACTATATGTGCTCAAAATTTCATCCGAATCAGTTCAGAAGTTGTTTCCCGATTGGGTAACAAACATACAAATATACATATTTATTTTTAGTAGGATGCAGAAAGGTTTCGCGCGCATCGCCGCACACTTGACACTAACAAAAATTTTCATTTTGAAACTTGATATTGAATTATTGAATCGAAAAATTGATTTCCAAAACCCTCAAGATCTCACGCCATAGAATAAGCTAGACGAAAAGAAAAATTTACATCACCACATTACATTTAAGTGAAGTAGCCTAAAATTTTCTTTTAAGAGATTATTTAAAATTTTAAAGGCCTATCTATTACCTGTGTACTAGCCTGAACTAATAGCATAGTCTAATAGCTGCGGACGGACGGACGGACATGGGGAACTAAGTTGACAAGGAAAATAAGTCGCGTAACGCCAGAACAGGCAAATATACAATAAAACATTTAACCTTTCACACCCAACCGAAGATGCGTTAGTGCGTCGAGCATACAACGATGATACGCTCGACGCATTTTTCGTTAGATATATACCGACCCTAAAACGTAATGACTAGTTTACTTAACTAAATATAGATAGTTCCTGTTAATTAACAATTTAGAACCTACCTTGACCAACGCCTCACGTCTTAGTTTGGAAGTGAGTGGTTATAAGTGAATATTAAATGTTGTTTGCCTTTGTTATTGAAATAGGCTTGTTATGAAAATGATATTGCATTCTATTTGTCATTACATTTTTAAGTTCATACAATTTTATTATTACACAACCACACTCAGGTGCTTTGAAAATATGTACTACTACACTCGGTGGCAAAAAAACCGCACGTCCGCGAAAATAACTTTCAAGCGTTATTATAACCCTAAACACACGCATTTACCCCCACCAATGCAGTCATGCAGTGACTATCGAGAAGTCCAGACCTGAACCCGATAGAGCACATCTGGGACCATTTGAAACGCAAGGCCGTTATTGAGAATTGGGCCAGTATCCCTATAGAAAACCTCCTAAAATTGGTAAGATCCATTAGGCAGCGTATGGAAGCCGTCAACCGGGAAAGGGGGGGGGGGGAACTATATTTTAAGGTTGGTTTTATGAACCTTTTTGTATTTTTTTTGTGTTACAATCTGTTTCAAATTAAGGCATAATTAATTAAGCATTTTCTATTGTTTGTACACTTTATTGTTTTTGCACTGAACTTTAATTGGAAATAAAAAATAATTGAATAGTTTTTTTTAGTTTATTTAATGGGCTTTCAAATGACACCAACATTGGTTAATAACGCTTGAAAGTTATTTCCACGGAGGTGCGTTTTTTTTGACGCCGTGTGTAGTAGGTAATATTTTTTTTAAATCTGATGTTTGCTTCGAGGTAGCAATATATGGACTTGCAATCTTTTTTATGATGTTAATAAGGAAAACGCTGCGACGTGAAATCAAAATTAACAAGTCGTAAGATTACTGGCCAGCACTTGCCGGTTTAGTATTGTGACAGTGGCTGTTAGTAAGTCTTCTACCGTGCTCCCATGCGCAGGTTAAAAAGTTGGTCGCGCATGCGCGTTTGTTGTGGCGCGAAACGCGGAAAAGTTTGGCAGGTGCGGTAACAATTTTGTTTGTGTTTATAATATGCGTGCCCCTTTGAATAATTTTGAGATGTGTGCAGTGATGGTGACTTGCTTGTAATTTTATTACAATTAAAGGGATTATTTACTCCGAAGTTTATAAAGTAGGTATTTATGTCTTATTTTTAAAAAAGTTATTTTCTCTAGACTAAGTATTTTGTAGGGAGTCAAATTGTTGTATAATTTCTGCTGATATTTATTAATACATGATTTATTTATTTCTTTAAATTTTATTATGTGTTCCATTAGTTTAATCTAAGTAAGAATTTTAATAATAATCCATGCTAGAAATGTTGATGTTATTTTTGTAATAAGTTTATAAGTACTTAAATTCTTATCGTGCATTTTACTACCCGATAGCTGCGTGTTAAATAGAAGGTAACATACCTGACTCAAAGTTTTGTGATTTTGAATTTCACGTAAGTGTACTATGAATTTTAATGCACACAAATTGTATTTATTATTGTACGTTTATTTTTGTAGCATTTATTATCTGTGTCAAGAAAAAAACAGAGTAAGCGCGCACGGTACAAATAGGTAAATAAATTACCACATTGAGATTTTTGGAATGTGTATTATTTCCAGACTTTGTAAATACAGAGTAAGATGTGGAAATTACTTTGTAATATGCAATGGTTTTAAACAGTTGAACCAATTTTGATTAATCTAGTTAAGTGGGGACCTATTTGAAGAAAAAATAAAATAAGGGATGAATGTATGAGACGGTGAACCAATAACATAAAATTAAAAAAAAAACACTACACAGTTAATGGTCTGTGTAGTGTTAATTGTTAAGTGCAACCTCCGTGGTGTGATGTGTGCCAGGTTTCAAGGTGTCGCTTTCTCAGAGGTCTCGGGTTCCATAGAACATACAGTGGTGGTCATATAATTAAGAATGCTTCTAGCAAAGACAAGATTTTAAAATTCCAATGTTCATAACGAAAAAAGTATTACTTCTTGACAAATATTGGCTATACTGTCTTTTAATGCATTTAGAAGACTAACATAATCGCAAATAAAATAGGAAATATATTGTATTAGGTACTACTGTTTGATTTACTGTCATTTAAATATTGTTTTCATAGCAAGAGGTGGGAAGGTGGACAAATAATTAAGAACGAGAGCAAAACTTAGTAATAATATTAACAATAATTTAATAATTTGATTATAACTAATAATTAATATAATGCTGTATTATTATATTTCAATAAAAAACTTCTTTTTTGAAAATAAATTATGTAATTTTATATTTACTGGCCTTCCTTAAGTTCCTTGACTGTGGATAACTGCATGACGACTGTAAGGCATCGACGCTATTTGAATTCCACTCTTCCAAAAACGAGTCGTACAGCTCATTAATGTTACCACACTGTCTGTTTGATAATTTCCTTTTTACTTGGTACCAGAGATGTTCGATCGGATTAAGATCTGGGCTGTTCGGGCCACTAATACCAGTTGACTGTCGAGGTATCTTTTTACTGAGAGTGCAGTATGCTTCGGATCATTATCGAGCTGGAATCTCCAAATTACCGGGAGATTGTCATCTGCATATGGCAATATACATTCTTCGAGTATTTCTTTTTGTTTAGTCCATGCTACCTTGTATAAGCCTAGTAGGTCCCACGCCATAACCAGCAAAATCAACCCCAAATCTTAACGTTTCCACCGCCATGCTTCACGGTCTTTTTCGCGTATTTAGGATGAATGCCTTATTCACAGGGCGGTGAACGTACCTACTGCTTGCCACCAGAGCATACTCTATTAATCTTGGTTTCGTCTGAAAAAAGTACAATTTTCCACTGATGCTCTGTCCAATCTTGATACTTTTTTGCAAACGCTAGTCGAGCCTCTCTATGATATGGTGTCAATATGGGTACCTTCTTTCTTACTCGCTCAAACAACTGTGCCCTTACTAGCCGTTTTCGAAAGGTACGCGCAGAGATTGCGCTAAGATTAATCTCATCATTTTTAATATCGTTTGCGCCTTTAAACGGGCCTTTCTTAGCAAGGCGAATTATTCTGAAATCCTTTCGTGGTGACGTTTTTCTTGCTTTGGGTTTACGGGGGACATTCGTGGTTTTCTGATGTGTATTAAAATGTTTCACAGCTTGGTTCAACATCGTTTTTGAGTAATGCAAGAGATCAGAAAAAAATATACGACTAATTACAAGCACGTAGTTTTATTATTATTTCTCTAGCAGTAAACCCGAATTTTTTTTTTGATTTTTATAAAAAAAAACGCAACCAACGTTTGATCTTACAATTCTTACAATAAAAGCCCGGAAATGCAATAAAAATAGTAATAACAAACATCGCATTCCATTTCCACAATGATGAAAAAAGAACTAAATATATTGGTTCTTAGTATTTACCCTGCCAGTATTCCGGCAACTTTACGAGTTCCTACGATTTAATATGTAGACAAATAAGAAGCTACACTATTTTGACGAAATTATTACATGAATAATGCAGATCAGCCATAAGAATATTCTACAACACTTACAGAGCATGTTTAGAAAGAACCATTCATTGAAATTATGGTCAAAACATAGTATTGGCTTTGCATTATTAAGCGTTCTTAATTATATGACCACCACTGTATATGATGAAAACCTAAGTCATGGATGTTTATATGTATTTCTAGAGATATATAATATACGTAATGAATACATATAATATATATATATATATTTAAATATTCGTGTGTTATGTTTTATTCTTTATATACAATGTATTGATATCTGTATCTATGTTAATTTGTATTTATATTCGTATTTAGCTTTATACCGCCGTTTATGTTTTCATTTTTCCCTAAGGTTGCCAGGGAGAAATGCTTTTAGCTTTAAGTCCACCTATTGCACGATTGGTATGTATTTTGGTCAATAAAGTCTAAAATAAATAAAGTTTAAAATGTTCTATCCGTTACCCTAGTATCTTATAACACAAACTTTCCAGTGCTTACTTTGTGGCTAGGTTATTAATTGGTATGTGTTAGAAATATTATTTATTTTATGCGATTGATACCCACACAATGACTCTTTGACCGAAGAACAAAAAAGGTCAGATTCCGGCCACCAGTCACAGTTACTATAAACATCTGTGGATGAAGGGATCCCTCGATCAGGTGGTTGATTCATTCGACCCCTTTTTGTTTCAGTGGGTAGTTCACGCATTGCTTCCTATTTCTCAAACCCCACGGGGACCGTATGCGGTTCGTTTGCCATCTGAGGAGTACACCCCGAGTTAAGTGAAAAAGTTATGCTGTGACTTTACTTTTCCTGTATAAGGACCAAAATTGTCAATAAACAAAATTTATTATTTTTAAGGCATGTAATTGCTAGATGTTAAAATCTAAAGAAAATGTGTTACTGTTCAAGTTTCTTTTTCTTTAGATTCACACAAATGAACTTCTAAAATGGAACCTATTCATTTTAGAAGTTCATTTGTGGAGAATTTGTAGTTTCATTAAAGTTCATGCTGTCATTTTCTTCGAGATAAGACACATGTCAAGGATTCAATTTTTTTGATGTCTCAGAATGCGGCTGTAAATAATTATTCATAATAGTTAGAATCCTTAATGTTATTATAAAACCGGGCAAGTGCGAGTTGAACTCGCGTATCAAGGGTTCCGTTCGCAAAAACCAAAACTACACATACTATATAATTCTTATAGATTTTTCTGTAATCTACAAGCAAAGAGCTACATCCACTATTTTTTTTAGATTTTTAGACGCAGTAGTTTCGGATATAAAAGGGGAGGAGACGGGTCAATTTTCATCTATTTTCTAAAAAAAAATTTGATCTATTCATGTTACGTTTGTAAAAACATATCTTTGAAACCTTCATTGAGCCCTTTCATTTGATGTATAACACGGCACAGGTAGCTAAAGTTTCATTTTTAACTTTTTAATTCACCCCCCAAAAGCAATTCGGAATTTATTTATTTATTTTATTCGTCCGTGTTTGGGTCACTGATATAGACGTGTAGGTACAGGAAATGATTGAAATGTTATTGACTGGTTATTTGATATGTTAAAAAAACTTTATGTTTACCTGGCTTAATAGATACGACCTTAGTCCGCTTAACTTTATGACGTTATTTGCGAAAAAGTTATCATTATCACTATTGTACTATTCAAATTGTTCGCACGTATATTGTGTATCTAAAATGGACACTAATTACGCGGAAGTTATTATTCGAATTTACGTTTGTTGAACTATTACGAATAGCTACTTATTATTTCTAAAGAATCAGTATGCCGGAGTTGATTAGTTACATATTGTAAGATAATATAAGAAATAATTTGACAAAAATATTATTACCAGAATAAATTCCATTTGGTCCAGGTTTCAGACGGGATAGCGGAAGATGCGGGTTTGAAAACCGTCTGAAATCTGGATTTTGTCTAGAAATATTTTCATTAAATTAAATAAAGAAAATGGACCAACCAATAATTTTATTTTTTTTATTGATCGTGTGATGCTTAGTTGATAATTAGTTTGTATGTTTTTTGATTTAATATGTTCTTTACCAATACCCCAACTCTGTCTTGAGCGAAGGAAGAAGAACTTACTTTTCGAATGCGATACCTTAACACTTGCGTTATTTCCCCCCGAAAATAGTAAAACGAGGACTTGGAAATTTAGTTATTAAGGGACTTTCTATTTTAAATTTCTCATATAGTCATATCTGGGACAAATAGTCTAGTCGGGTAAGTTCAATTTCAAGAACAAGGTTGCTGCCGTTAACTGCCGAATCCATCTCGGTTGGGTTGGCTTTCTTGTCCAAAATACCTCAGTGCATGAAGACCAAGGTTTTCGAACAGGGCATGTTGCTAGTATTGACACTCAGAGCTGAGACGTGGTTGTTGACTAAGGGCCTCATAAGAAGGCTCAAAGTCGCATAGCGAGTGAGGAAAAGAGCTATGCTCGATGTTTCTGTAAGTGATGAAATCAGAAATTAGGAAACCCGTAGAAGAACTAGAATAATCGACATAGTTCAACGGATCGCAAAAGTTGAACTGAACTTTGGGATCCTAAGGTTCTTCAATGACGACATCTCATCGGGAATTTCTTGGCGGGAAGCGCAGTGTTGGAAGACTAA